TTTTTTTTTTTGGTACTGGGGATCGAACTCAGGTCCTTGCACTTGCGAGGCAGGCAGTGGAACCACTGAGCTAAATCCCCAGCCCCTGGGCTTTGTCTTTTTACCATGGTGTTCAATGCCTAAAGAGGGGTGAAAACAAAATAGTTGTAAAGTACATAAATGTTTGTTAAATAAGTAAGTGAAGACATAAACGTTTGCTTGCAGTCATCAGCTCTTAGGAATTGAAGTAATGGCACTGTCTAGATCAGAGGACCTGTAACTATCGTGAGAGCACTGTTGTTCTCTTTCTCATCTTTTTGGGGATAGAAGGTGAACTTTTGGATGGAAAATTACAGGTGAACCAATTCTTTATGTGTTCACAGTTAAAAATAGATCCCTCTTTTGTTTTAACTTACTACTACTTATCATATTGAATATATTTGTTTTAAATTGTAAGGAAAATCTTTTTCAAGTTTATGTGTATATAGGAAGATACCAGTAGAATGTTCCTAGTCAAGCCACCCTGGGTTAGGAGTTAATGGTAAAAAAAAAAAATCAAGTAATAAGTATTTGACTCAGTCTTTCAAAATATCACCAAATCCAGAGAAGATACAGAAAGTCAACGTTGGGTCAGCTAATACAAATTTTTTCTTGGATTTAAAAAGAGTAGTTGTAATAGAATTAAAAAATTCTAAGGTATTAAGAGAAAGTGAATTCAGAGAGGAATGATTTTTAAAAATATCTTGCTTACAGAGGAATCAAGATTTTTGTGATAAAAACAGTGAAGTAAAATGAGAGCTTTTGGCAAAACACCTTAATATCTTTGGGTCCAAGATTTTTCGTCTGCAGACCAAGGGGAATAAAAGGTGCATTGAGGGATTCTATCCATATTAGTATCTATGTGTGTGTATATTGATCCTGTCAACGGGTAGTGTGGAAGTTTAAATTGGCCACAAGGGGGAGAACTCGAATTCTACATTAAATCATTTAATACAATATGAAATAAGCTGAGAGTATTTTGCTATATGAAGTGATAGGCTGCTAGACGTAGGCTTAAATTAGTTGAAATGTGGTTTTGTCAAAATCCATTTGGGTTAAACAATGATGCTCCATGAAAAAAAAATCCAGCTGTTTCTTATATTAAAATGAAGTTAGTAGAATTTTAGAATTCAGCCTCACAGAGCTTTTCCTTTCAAATATTATTTCAGCTATTCAAGAAATCTGTAACCTTCCCAGAAGTCTTTGTTCAACTCTGGAATGAGCGTAGATCATCACAAGGACAGTCCATCGCTGGTATACACAGACAAACCAAAGGGCCAGAGTGGGGCTCCCTGCACCGTTTGAATGTTTTATGTGTCTGAATTTATATATTCTACATGTTCATTATCAGATGGATATTGAAAGTATGTCCACAGTGTTAAATATTTGTTTCTCTCTTTCCATTAACTTCTGTTCTCTGGTTTTATTTGAAGTTTTATTGTAAGGAAACTATAACTTTCACTGTGTTGAAAATTACCTGATGAGTCTTCCTAAATTTGAATGATTCACATCTTTGGACTTCATTAAACTAAATTCTACTTATAAAATATGGATGAGTATAAGATTCTGAATGATATCAAATATATCCAAAACATACATAGGTGAATGAGTATCCTTTAACTATGTTTCAGTAAAGTACACCAGTATCTCAACAGTACATCTGCTGCTCAAAACAATTTGAGCTTCTCCTTCGGGCCAGTGTCATACTCTTTAATATGTTCAGTGATGAGAGTGAGTATAATATTTGAAAACAAGTATTTCTACAAATGAAGATTGAATATTAATGTTACTAATTAAGTTAGAGTATATATTATTTAGTGATCAAAAATTAGATGCAAAATATTGAAGATCTTTTAGGTTAAAAACTCTCTTCATACGGCTCCTAGAAACAAGCCACAAAATGATTCTCTCAATGGCGTTATCACTGGGATAAATATAAATCCTTCTGAAGTGACTTTCATTTGAATACATTAATTCTTGTGTGTTTGCAAAAATGAGTAAATAACAAAATAAGTTGCTTAATTTATTTATAGTCACTTTGTTTATGTTCTAGTTATTTTCATAGCTGACAATGAATTCTTTACATTAAAAATTACAGCATTCTAATTAAATCAGTAATCGTATTGATTTTTTTCCATAACATCCTCAAAAAAAGATGCTGATTTTCTTTGACTTTACAGATGCATTTTCTATCAGTATTTCTAATATCCAAAATTATTACAGACCAGTAAAAGATATGTGCTAGGCAGTGTGGTAGTAACACGTTACTGTTGCTTGTGTATGCAGTGACTAGTGCAGTGATTGGCCCACTAGTAAGTAATTGTTAATAGTATTAGGTACATAAATATGTGCAATGAATAGTAAGTGATGAAAATAGTTTATATACATGCGTAGTATTATTGTAGATGGCTGCATAATCACCCACCCAAAATGTAAAATCTTACATAAAGAAGTCACTTATGTTGTGGACGATCAGTAATTTCAGCAAAATTCAGTGGGAAGAGCTCATTTTTACCCCACACAGTGTCTGCTGGGCTGACTTGAAATCCAGGGTGAGCTGGAAAAGTCCAGAGCCCAGAACCACCTGACGTGCTTGATGAGGGCAGTGGGTGGGAGAGCTGGAATGTCACTTGGAAACTGCTTTGATTGTTGGAGGAAGCAGAGCCAAATTCATGGCAGTTTTATGACTCAGCCTTGGAAGCCATATGAAATCATTCTTTCTGTGCTCTGTTGATGGAGGCAGATTTTAAGGGGAGGAATTTAGAAGCTACATAAGAATGGAAATGGCAGTAATGTGCCGGGCACATTGCAAGAAGAGCACGTGGGATTGACTGTATCGGAGTGGCCAGTTTTGGAAAAAACAAAGTGCTGTGATTTCCAGCACATTAGTATAGCTTTTTTTTTCATTCAGATTTTACTTTTACTCACTAGATGACTTTAGAAAACAGTCTCCAAGTGAAACTCATCCTGCTAAAGAGATTCTTTCTGATCCAGCAAATATTTACTATTAGTTTTTTAAAAAAAATCATAGGAAGTGAAGTGAGAGAGAAGCTGATTTATCTTACGTGGAATCATTTACAGATAAGCTTTTGAAGCAGGCAGGAATGAATGTCTTCTGAATACCCAGCCATATCTCTGGTGCCTGGCAAATATCCAGCATGTGGGAGAGTAAAGGAATATGATATCACGGAGTAATGCACAGTACTTCCTAGTCATTGTGAACAGATAATGTGTTCCTTAACTTTGTATTGGTCCTGATATTGTTGATTATACAGGCCAGAATGTATGAGCTTTGGAACTATTTCCAAAGGTTAGGCTTTGTCTTCCAAATGTTGGCATTGTACAGCATTCCCTCCTTGTTTTTGGAGCCCTTTCTACTTATTCCTACTGTACTGAGTCATTAGAGTACATTACATAACGTAACATGTTGTGGTGTACACGCAGTTGCCTCCTAGGTTGTAAATCACTCAAATGCTGGATTGCACCCCTGAAAGTGCAGTTTCATACCCAGAATGCTATATATCTGCTGTATGGTGGAGGCTGCTTATACACTGTTGAATGAATGAATGAAATTCTAAATGGCAATTTGTCCTTTTACATTTGTATTCATCATTAAAAATTAAGTTGTAGGGTTGGGGATTTAACTCAGTGGTTCCGCTGCCTGCTTTGCAAGTGTAAGCTTAAGGTCCTCAATTTGATCCCTGGTACAAAAAAAAAAAAAAAAAA